TCAAACAAATCTGCAATGTTCTCAGTGTTGGAATAAGTTTTTGTTGCCTTCCAAATTTTTTTGGTTGACTTGTACGACAAAAAAATCTCCTACTTCAGTGGTCATTGAGTTGACTAGCCAGGACAATCACATGGACTTGAAGCTTCCATCTACGACAGATAGGATCAATGAGCTCAAGAACTCTGCCCTAGCGTGAGATGTTCATTTTTCTCTTTTTCATAAAAATACATAAACACGGATTGTGACAATTACGGAAATTTATGGTCATTGAGTTTATGGTTTGTGATAAACGAAGAGAGTTCAGGGGTTGTTTGGACAGAATACAAAATTTATGGTCTCTAATTCAAAACTAATTTCCAGAATAGAATTAAATGTCTTCATTCCGTGCTTGGTCATAAACCCTATGCACATTTAGGGCTAGATAAGAGAGTTGGTAGTTGTTGTAGGAATAGAGCTTTGTATCTGCAGGAATCCAGCTATGATAAGGAGCGGAGGAGGGCATGCGGGTTGGCTGGAGGAAGGATTTTGGCGATCGGATTGTTCTTGGAGAGGCTCCAGCTTCTGTAGGAGCGAGCAGAGAATGGCCTGCACACTGAATGAAAGCTAGGATTTGTTTTCTTGCTTTAAAACCATGAAGAAAAAAGCATTGAACGGAATACTCATTTAATTCTCATTACAATCTTCAACCATAAGGCTACATATATAGAGAAACTAGTTACTTCTAATTTACAATCTTACCGATTATATTTAGCCTAAACATGGAAAAGAAATAATTGTGAAAAAAACATAAAAAGGAATAGAGTAAAAACTAATCAAGGAGTTTCCCAATTTATCTCCAATTAATCCATCCATCACTCCTTGAATGATCAGCCTACGCCCAACATGAAAGGAGGCCCCAGGTCGACCTTTTTAGATTTCCACAAAATATGAAGGTCTCAACTACATCAAGTCAGTTAAAACCTAAATCCAAAGTTTTTTAATAAGAAACTACTGATAGAATGTTAGGCTAGTAGAAAAGATTAATGAGAGAATTGATAAAGATCACATGCTCTTATTTATAGTTATGTCCGTGGCCAGCTTGCGACAATGTCAGTCATCAACAATATAGATAACAAATCTCTAGATATAATTACTAATTGAAGCTTCTATGAAATTTTAAACTCTTTTATTAATATAATGCTTTTTTTCTTGAATGTGTTATTATAACTTTAAAACAACGATAATAGGTGCTGCACGTTACATGAACTGAAACTTCATAAAAAATAGCAAATAAGGATTTGGATATGACTTACAAAGTAGCTAGCTATGAAAGGAATTATCTTCAAGTAGATTAATAATATATTGATTTTGAATATAATGAATACTTAACAATTTTTGTAAACTTTATTCACATTCCTTCGCCACATGCACAAGTGAACAAGAGAAATTGATTAGATCCAAATGACCTGGTGCTTATCAAATGTAATCAACCTTAGAAAGAAAATTCAATTTAAGACACAATGATCTAACTAGTTTTATAGCATCGGTGAATGTAATGAAGGAATACTTAGAGAGATGAAGGATGTTAGCGTAGTTCATTTAGGTGAAAAAAACCTAACATGTAAATAGGTTGAAAAAAAAGTTCATCAAAAGTGATTTGTGTTATTATGTGAAGCCTGATTGTGTCAATCACATGAAGCCTTTAGTTTCACCAATCACGCTTGATGTTGAGTTTGTTAGAGGGTGATCCCCCTTTATTTGTTTTAGAGGCACTACCCCAGAAAAAAATTTTAATTGTACACAATGCCCCATCTCTTAGAAGGTAACCCCACCACACCCAATACAGGTGTAGAACCTGAGAGCACTACACTCCAGCGCCTAGAGAAGAGCGATGCAATGACCCAACACCAAGACAAGCAACGCCACAAAGAACATGAGAGCGCAACACTGCAGCACACCTTATGCAGTGCCATATCACGGTGCATCGATGCCTATGACTGATGTTTAGGAAATTCCTACTTATTGTGTCATATTTATCGAAGATAGAAGGGTTGGATTTCAAATTTTCTCTTATGCAAAAGAAAAATAATGTCCCGAACTATTCCAAAGTGTAGAGACGCTTGAGCGTGGTGTGATTTGTACAATTCTCCTCTTATGCTTCATAATGGATTACTTGGTGTAGTGCGACTCATGTTCTTTTCTCACTCTCGAGTTTTTCCACGTTAAATCTTGTGTTTTTTATGTTTTATGTGATTTTTTTTATTTTGTGTGCTTCTATTCAATTTTTCTTTGGATTTTTTGAATCGGTTTCCGCAATTTCCTCGTTTCTCATCTTACAATTTGTAAGATTTAGTAGATCAAAAAATAAAATGACACCCAACAACCTCTATTGGTGTTCTAGTAAAAGAAGATATGATTGACTCGCAAGGAAAAAAATAAGATTTTCAATATGATAATTTTAGTTGAAGAAAGATATGATTATGCAAATGAAAGAGAGGATGATGATTAATGACTTCCCTTAAACATACTTTATATAACTTTAAATTTTATGCACTAAACTTTATTTTCTTGCAATAAAATTTAAATTATGTTTTTTATTTGTGTCACTCATACTTGAAGTTCTTAAATTTTCTATTAAACTACTACATTAATTTTTATTTTTTATTAATTCCAATGCATAATAAAAATTGCTAGAAATTTCAATTTACATGTTCACTTTCAAAATTTATCTTCATATTGGCATGCATATGATATTTCTTTTCAATTTTATATGAACTTTTTAAAAATTTATTAAATAATTCATATTATATAACTATGCATAGATTTATAATTATATCTATTTAAAGTTATTAGATGTTGTGAATTAAAGCACCTTTGTACATCGTATAGTGTTTTGTTGTGGAAATTTTTCCTAGACTTCGGTTAGTTGCCGCAAGTGGTGGTGTCCATCACCAATTTTTATGACACCAATTATTATAACAAAGTCAATTAGCAAGATGAACTACACAATCATTGTCGATGAGCTTCCATAAATGATCCAAAAGGATGCTCTTAGAATAAATTTGCAAAAATATGCTCGTGAGAGTAGAAGTGCAAATTAAAAAGGATGGAGCTAAATGGCAAAAATTAATTTATATTTCATTTTTAGGAGTGGGCAATGAAATTAGGATGCCTACGAGAATAATGTGGAGAAAATATAAATTATCATATTTCTTCTCTAATATTCTTCACCTATTTCTGCATGGTTGACCAACCTTCAAGGAAAAATCTAATGGAATATTTGAGCAATGATTCCATAGGTTGAATGGATCTAAGAAATTTAGGATAGTGTTTATAAAACAAGAGCATTTAACAGGAAATGGGGATAGACATATTTCAGTGACATATTTATATATATATATATAGCAAAGAGTTTAAAATACAAAATTCAAGCTTGATAAAATTGAATGATATTCCACCTCAATTTTTGTCTCCCTCTTTCCCGCTATGAGCTTGAGGAGGCCTGCCCAAAATGTACACTCTTTTTCACTTGGGTAAGCAGCATAAGTTCATCCAATAATGTAAGGGTAAGGTCCCCAAGAGCAAGGTTACTCCCTTCTCTCTCCTCTTAAATAAATTCATAAAAGTTTCAATTCCTCCATAAAAAACCGATTCTTTTGATCATATAACTTCTATTAAGGGAATATGATATCGGAGGCAATTACTCATAGAAGTGCAAAAGGTATTAATAATTAAACCTAAGGTGAATGCTTACTTAAAATCACATTTTCAACTTCTATTTTGTGTGTGTATATCAATAGCTTGCCATACTTATAAATTATTTTAAATTGTATGAGTTCTTTTTTTTATAATTTTCAGGCTTACATTTCGCATTGCTAAAGGCAAAATATCCCATTTTAAAACTTGGAACTTAATTGGGGTGTGAGAAGCAAAACCAGCAGATAGAATTTCTCCAAAGCTCTAAGCTATAGTGAAAGCCCTAGCAAATAAAATTAAAATCATTCATATAATTCTAATCTTAAAGCAAAAAATTATAATCTTTGATTATAAATTTTAAGAGAATATAGATCATTATCTGAAACATTTTTCTGTTTATTCATAAAGAATGATAGAGATCGAATACTCCAAAAATCAAAGTGCAAACAGAATAGTTGCCACTGAAACAAATAGCCTAACCCCACTAATCTTGGATACAAAGTATCCCCATTCAAGTTGTCTCGGATCACAAATCTAAATATGCCATGTCGAATGAGAGGACAACAAGAGCATGATGGAAGCGACAAATCAAAGTTTGATAGAAAAAAATATATGACAAGATTTTTAGCCTCTTGAATAAATCGAACAAAAAACAAGCAACAATGCCTCATCATTTTTATATAGGTCAACTCATTTACAAATGAATGGCTAGTGAATCTAAGAAATATGAGTCTTCCGAAACAATATACACATCAAAGAGTGCTCGTAGATGTGACAAGGGATCACAAAATTGCTCCTTGTCAGAGATCAAACCTAAATTAGCCATTGTAGCCACAATCCCCACTAGACATCTTTCTCCAAAGCTCAATGCTACACACCATTCTGATAGTGTACAATCATAGGATCAATAGGAGCTGCCTTAAGATACTACTCCATGTCAAATGATAGACCTGAATAAATAGAGAATTTTATAATGCTAGCAAACCAATAATGAGTTAAATCATAAATAAAACATAGATACAAGAGCTTCCAGTGCGCCAACTATACAATGGCTTGTAGTATTTGCACCTATAAGCATCATTTAGGAATCCATATATGAAAATAAAATAGGCTAAGCAAACCAAACATCGGCATAGTGGAAGTGTTTGAGTACATTAACAAAAAGGAAATAGCCAGAGAAAAGATTGACACTCCAACCATTTGAATGAAAACCGACAAAAAAGATCCAATAACCAGTAGAAAAACTAAAAATAAAAAAACAGGTCAGCTGCCAGATCATAAAGAACAAATTACAAAAATTAAAAGAGCAGCGTAGAAACAATAACCTGGAATTCTGGGAGAAGTTGGAAGATAGAAAAGATGGATCCACCCTTGTATTTTCCCTGGAAGATACACCACCAACTGAACTGATACTGACACCAGCACCACCGCTGGTTGCAGTGTACCTTTGCATCTCTATCTAAAATAGCCCGCATGCTGCCCCCAATGCCATCACCATTACTTTAGGCACATGCTACTGTACAGCTACTTTCTAACTTATATTTGACTGAAAATCATAGAATCTGCTGCCAACCTGAGACTCAAAAATCATCTATGATCACAAGAAAATGCTTTAATGTTGAAACAGATGGTGCTCATTACCCACGAAGGTTTACCAGTCAATCCACCACCTTAGAACAATCTTAGTTCTCAATAGCAAATTTTAAAGGATAAAAAGCTAAGTCAGGATCTCCAGTTGAATTAGTTCACTGCCTCAGATTAATGGTTCCACAGTAGCAGCCTTCCATACTCCTTTTTGAAATAAACAAAACAAGTGTAAGAAGCTAAACATAACCAGCTATCAACAGATAGAATCCAGGGATTTCAGAGATTTCAAAGTGATCTTCTTGCTATAGGATAAAGATGCCAGCTTTCCACAATATATCCGTATGGCCTACATATCAATTTCAAACAACAAGTAAGTTGCAGTGGCAAGGGCAAAAACAGTATGTTTTTAGCAGCATCAAAATACGCAGTAACAAATAAGGAAATCTCAGATATCGAATAGACGGATATGCAGCACTACAGAAAGAAACAACAAACAACTTTCAATACAGCTTAACAAACATGAAGCTAATATTCAAACACCAAAATGCAATGATAGTCTTCTAAAATAGGGTCCAAGTAAACGTGATAGAGCAAAAAGCTGCCCCAAAAAAGCCCAACCGTAAACCCTCGACCGCCTCCAGAAAGCCGCACAAGCCCACCTAATTACAGATCGAAAGAGGAATTAGGGCTTGGGCAACACCTGCCCAGTTACAGAAGCAGACAGCAGGGAAAGCACAGCCCAGTTCCCAGCAAAACCAGATAGGGTTGGAAAGCGCGAGAATCAAATTACCCTTAAATCAGCAGATTAGTTGCCATGGGAAAACAAATAAGCCCTAAAAGAGAGGAGGTGAGCGTACCTTCAAAAGTGGCTAGAAAAGAGGAGAAATGGCAGCGCAAGTGACCTACAGAAAGAGAAGGCTAAGCGTTTGACTCGTTTTAGCATGGTTGGAATGATGATGACGACAACGACAAAATAAATGGTGTATATCTGCTCTCGTGCGTGCTCTTTCACGGCGCTGTTAGTGGGGACTTTACGGTGCAGGAGAGAGAGAGCATCTATGTTTTTTTTTTAAATTATGTTTTAAAAGAATTAGGTTTTTTTTTTTTTGTTTTATTTTATGCTGGGGTAAAAGTGAGTTTTAAGGGTGCTAAGGATTGGTGGTTAGTGTGAATCAAATGGATGGGACAAGAGGCCCTTGATAATATTGTGTATGTATATATATATATATATATATATATATATGTCGGCTTCAAAACATAATAAACGCGAGTTGTGGGTTCGGCCCCACGACCCGCATTTCGTCTTTTATTTATCTTCGGCTTTTACAAACCTACTCAGAGCTTTCCTCATGTCCCGCTCTCCCCTCTCTCGCGAGCTCTTTGCTCTCATGTCCCGCTCTCTCCTCTCTCGTGATTCTTCCCTAAAAACATCGGCTTTCCTCCTCCTTTCCGATCCGTGTTTCGGTGGCAAGGGTTTGTCTTTCTTCTCCTCTCCCTATCCCCTCCATTCTTCTGTTTCGTTTGGTTCATTTGCTCTCCGTAAGCCCACGATATTCTCTACCATTATATATTCTGGCATTTTAATTTTGCAATCATTTTAACTTCTTTCAACTCTATTCATTTGATGATTTTCTGGTGGTTGTGCACTGGTGTTAGATTTTGCAAGTTCAGTGATTTAGATTTTGCGCTTTTCTTTATTAGTGGTGTTGTGATGGGTTTTTATGTGATATTAGCTTTTCTGTGTTCTATTTGTTTTGCTTGTTTCCCTTCTTTGTGTTCTATTTGATTTGATTTTGTGATTTTTTGTGATATTGGGCTCTATGTGCTCTATTTGGTTTGTGAAATGTTTTGGGTGGTGGCGGTGGTTACTGTGATGTTGCCCGGCATGTGTCAGATAGCGGTGGTGGTTATTGTGATGTTGCCACAAATTTTTTTTGTGATGGTGTCTGTTACTATGATAATGCCTGAAATTTTTTAGGTTGTGATGGTGGTCACTGTGATGTTGCCTAAAATCCTTCGGTTGGTGGTGGTGATTACTGTGATGTTGTCTGAAATTCTTTGGGTGGTGTTGGTGGTTACTGTGATGTTGCCCGAAATTTTAGTGACGTTTTACAATGATGCTGGTCGAATATGGTTATGTTGTGATGTTGGTGGTTGTCGAGACCTGTAATAAAGATGAGGAAGATCCAAGGGAGATGACAGAGTTAAGAGAATGAATTACGTATGTTATAGTAAGACGGTGATATAAGTATTCATTATATTATTAATTATAAATTTTGTTAAAGAGATTCACAATTTATTGTATTTGTATTTTATACAATTAATGTTGATTGCCTCAACTTTTTTATTTGATATTGATTTTTAAGGTTTTTTATGATGTCTATAAGTGTTTTTTTTTTCCTTCTGCATTCCTTTTATTTTCCTTTTGGTGGGTTTGAGAGGTCTATGATGAAACGTTTGACCTTATGGGTTCATCGAGATAGCTTGTTTGTCACTATTGGTTGGGTAACATGTGAAATCCTAATGAAGGCAATCAAATCCTCTTTTTTTTTGGTGCTACGATTTTTAAGGCTCTTATGATGTCCCTTTTTGGTGATATGTGATGCGCCCCTATTGTGTGTTTTTTTTTATGTATTTTATGTCAATTTAAATCCCAGTAATTGTGTCAAAAACTTGACCCGTCCCTAAATTACGCAGTAATTCAGCTTTGAAAATATGGTCAAAATGTTCTCCCAATTTATATTAAGTATTTAATATGAAAAATTGAAATGTTATATGTAAAATATATAAAATAGTTCACACACTAGTGGTTCTACGCAAGTGCATATATCGCTTCAAGAAATATAGGACTTTCTTTAAAAGCCCTAGTATCAATCTCACAAAGAAGCGCAGTAAAAAATCCCTAAGGCTAATTCTAGTCTACTACTATCAAGTCTTAGTTTGGAAGATGGAAGTTCTTATGATAATAACATAAATAACAATATTCAAATTATAAAAATTAAAGTAAAGACAAGTTAAAATGGGTGTAATGAATGCTAAAAGAAATGTAACTAAAAGAACTAAGTTTACTAAACTAATTTCTAAACTTCAAAGATAAATTTACTAAGACTAAACAAAGTTTCATGACAAAGAGCTCAAATTTAAGAAAGCATCATTCCCCTTTACAATGAGTATATGAATTGTGAAAAAATTAAAATCATATATATATATATATATATCGTTTTGTGCCAAATAGGAGCAATCCTATTTTTTACTCTCTTCCGAGTGCATAAAGAACATTGACTAATCTAGAGTTTGGTCCATAATTTTGTGGTTAGGCTAGGAGGATACTGACTGTCACTCTCCCTCACCTCAGGGCTAACAATCTCGCATCAGTTTTCAATCAAATGGACCAAATTAGGGATTTTAATCTGTCACGATAAAATATCCAATTCTGCATCCAACAAAGTATATTTCCTTATTTATTTGCACTCAACCTCATAGATGAAATACTCTTCTATGAAATCAAATGTGATTCTCCTCATGTTGTAGAAATCATTGCCTTTTTGGAACATATGTTTCTCAACACATTTTAACAATTCAATTGGCCAGATCGAAAATAAAATGAAGATCGGAGTTCAAATCATCACAAAGATCACAAACTATTGACATTTAAAATCATATAAAACAAAATCAATTCTTCACAAAACCATATCTCAAAGTAGGGAGAAGGATAAAGAGGACTACTAAGAATTAATGAAAAGGAAACGGCTAAACACGAATTTCATTAATAAAAACAAGTTTACAAAACAAAAGAAATAAAAAACACAACTTATCTCACAATCCTTCCCAAGCAAATCCCTAGAAGTTCTCTTCAAGTCTTTCTCTCCTTACAAGCACTCTCAATTCTCTCTTAGAGGTGTAATGAAGAAGAAATCTCTCACCTTCACTCTCCTCTAACAAATCTTGAAAATCTTCAGCCCTTGCCTCTCTCTCTAACAATCCTTGAAGGAAATCTACAAGATCTTGCTTCTTTCTCTCACTCCACACACACAAACACACGCTCACGCCACTCAAAAACTTTTTCTCCAAGCCCTAGACTTCTCTCTCTTTTATAAAAGGATGCCTCTCTCCAAAAAAAATCAAAATTCCCTCCAAAATTCTCTCCAAAAGTCAACTTTTTTGAATTCAAAAGACATGTCCATTGATCCAAGAGACATTCCATTGACATGTCCATTGATCCAAGAGACATATCCCTTCATAAAAGAACCTTCCAAAGTGTCTAGATGCATTGAATCACTCCAAGGGGTGTTTAGAGTAAGTTTCCCTTTAAAAATTAGCGCAAAATTCATCCTAAATCGTCTTAATCAGCGAAAATTCATCTTTGGTGCATCATGCACCAATTCTCTGGATTTTGGCGCATTATTTACCACTTATTTACCACTCTACAACAACTTTACTATTTTGCTTCGTTTGGCTCCGTTTCGCCCCGTTTCAGGTATGTTTTCCTCAAACAGATATACCTACAAAATAAGCATGAAAATAACCTCTTTTTGAAGTGTAATTTCATTCAAAAATATTTGATAAGTGTAAAGTAGATTAAACATAGAAAGACATATCGAAATGTATCAAGTTAGAATTTTCTTTCTTGCTCGTGTTTACTCCAAATTGCACAATTTTTACTTCATTTTTTCCAAAAGTTCATTTCTTGTTCCTGAAGCCAAAAATATGCAAAATACATTCCTTTAAAGTGTAATATCATTAAAAATCATTAAAATTGAGCATAAAATATATATGAGAAAGTAGGTAATTTTTAGGCATGTCAAAGTCCCCCAAACTTAAACGTTACTTATCCTTAAGTGACGTTTTTACTACATAAAATTTTGACTTAGGATAGAGATTAACTTATAAACTTCTATATTTTAGTTTAATAAATAAAATAGTATAATTTAAGAAAATTTTTTTAATAACTTAATTTAAAACTATAAGTATAAGAATACTTAGTAATCAAATCTAAGATTTCTGAATCTCCATTTATTTCAAGAAGAACTGTAATTTGTTATATCAAGGATATTTATAATATCCATATGAAAAAGAATTTCATGAAAACTTTACATGAAACTCTAAGATTCTTAATACCTTATATTTTCCTTTTCTTTAACATTAATATTTCACATAGTCTTATCCTTTCATAACAAATATCTTTAACTCAATACAAGTTTAAAAAATGTAATGAAATCTTTTCCTCAAGTTGATTCATGTGAAGCCAATTTTTTATTAGACATCTCCTCAAGTTTCTCCTCCCATTCCTTTTTTTTCTTTTCTTTTTCTTTTCTTCTTTTTCTATTAAGGATCTTTTCAATCTTTTCTTCTTTTTTTCAAGTGATGATTACTATATCAAGATAGCCTTTAATAATTTTGAACTTCACTATCCTCTCATTAAAGTTAAAACTTTTTACATTTCTTCACTTTGTAAATTCATATTAGTTTTGATGATTTCTTATAAAGTCTCATTCTTTTTTTCTTACATGAAACTCTAAGATTCTTAATACTTCATAAATATATTTTCCTTTTCTTTAAATAGGAAAACATAGTCTTATCCTTTCATAACAAATATCTTTAACATTAGAAATGACCCTCGTTATTAAAAACTTTTACCTAAATTTACCATAATATTTGCAAACATAAATATAGTCATTTAAAGTTAAACTCTAATATCTAAGGTCATGTTAAATTAATTTTAAAAATATAGTTAACTGAGGAAAAATAAAATTTAGTTTACTTCTTTTTAAA